GGTCTAAGTGATTTTTTAGTGCAGGTTATTGACGTCACGGACGTTAATAACCCCACTGAGAGGGAGAGTTTTTGGATTGAGAAACTAAATAGTTATGTCCCACGTGGGCTTAATTTAAGGGAAGAGGTTTAATTAATTTATGCATAGCTAAACGTTAGACTATTTAAGCAAGAGACGGAGATGATGTAGCGTTATTCTGAAGAAGGGTCTTGTCCCCGAAACGTAAAAATATAATTTATTTACTTTGAAAATTTATGATTTCTTGATATTTATATATATATATATATATATATATTAATAAATAATAAAAACACACACATGTTTATAGCACATACAGTATTAAATATGGAATCGAACAAGATCAAACATATAAAATATTAATGCCGCATTGCATGTGATCGAAGCTTTATAAATAAAATACATATTCTCACCGACTGAATATACACGCTATTCGCTAAGCAAAATACCAAATAGTCAATTAAGGTTACAGAACACCTTTGAGTGTTAATTTTGCCTAAATTTTTTTTATTGGTTTCCATGAAAGCATTAGACTAGTTCTACTATCTGACCAAGTTTGGACGAAAAATGTTGAAAACTCGCAGAGTTATTTAATAAAATACATTTCGCTGCAATAAGAAAAACATTGAAAATGTAATATTCAAATTCAATTTTCTCCCGAAAAATTTTACGGTAATTACTGATTTTCAAACGAGTTGTGCTCCTGCGGGTTTTAACCAATTTTTCTCAAATTTTCACAGGACATAGCTAAAGACGTCAGTTTCAAAATTGTGTTCGGCTTTTTTTTTAATTTTGGATATTTTAATAATAAAGAGCAATTCACTCAAACAATTCAGAAATATATTGCAGTCGTCAAAGAAATCGCCATATCAGCGGAATGACGAAATAAACAGAAATTTCCGAACACTGTTTTTTAGAACAACTATTTTACTGTATAAAAATGATATTTTCATAAATATAACTTAAAACCAGCAGGAGCACAACTCAAAAGCGAAACGGTACCGGGATTTAAGATTTTCCTGAATAATTCTTACATTATTTTATTGTTTGTTAATTTTACAACTTTACCATATTTTGCATACCCTGGCGAACATTTGGTGAAAATTTGATTAAAATCGGACTGATATTGAGCGCGCAGTAGCGGTTTTCCGCAAAACGCCAAAAAGGGTGTCCTGTAACCTTAATGCTCGGTGAATGAGTGAAATACAATATATAAAAGTACGTTTGTATTATTTCTCACGGCATCTCGCCAATTGAATACATAAGACTGTATATACCTCTAAAACTCAAAACAGCTTACTATGTACTCTAAAACCTCAAACCAGCTTACCTTAATACTGGAGAAACTTTCTTCGAAATTTTGCATGGAATCGTAGACTGTGTCGTAGATGCGCGGGCTTTAACCTAACCAAAGAGCCTGTTCGCAGGAGTAACCAAACAGCCTTTCGCAGGCGAAAAAGTGAACCGTCCACTCTAAACATCTTGCCGACAGCATATGGCGACTACTGTTCCAGTAGACGCCAAAAACGCAACAACAGCCTTACCGCAGGGGATGGAACTTGCAGTCTTGTGAATCCAGGGCAGCACTAGAGTCAAGCTGACGAGCCAAGCTGACGAGCAGAGTCAAGCTGACGAGCTTTAACGGTTGAACTTGCTGTTTAATCAAATCAAATCAACTTTATTTCACCAGGGTAGTCACGTCAGTTCAGAAGAACCAGTGGCGTAACTACTATGGGCTCAGACCGTGAGAACCCGGGGGCCCCAACCTAAATGGGGGCCCCCAGGCTTAGGCAATAGAGCAAAAACATTGGTCAGGGCCTCTGATATGTTACAATGTAGTTTTATGACCATCAGAATTCTGTAAAATCTCTCCCCAAAGTCCAGGAAATGGCATTTCAGAGAGTCTAAATTCAAAACATTTTCCGGATGAGCATGCCCTGGACCCCCTAGAAAATTCGTGCATATACGGCGCTCGACTCGTGCCTTTGGCACTTCTACTAGGGGGGCCTTCGAAAATTTTGAACCGGGGGCCCCCTGATATAACGTTACGCCACTGAGAAGAACTGCATAGTATCAATGTGAGCCCTGGGTCGACCACTCGTCTATGCCTAGCTCAGTTTGTTATAGCGCTCCACCAGTTTATGTATAACGTAACCAGAAGCAGAACTATTGGTCTCTCGCAGGAATCGAACCTGCGTCCTGCAATTGCGGATCCTGTCAGAGGGCCAATAGTTCTGCTTCTGCTTACGTCTAGAAATGTATAAAATATACACTCGCACGATAATTCCGTCCAAAAGAGGAGATAATATGCTAGGACAGTCAGGGGTTTATATTCCTCTATAATCCCCCCCCCCCCTGGGGTGGGGGAAAAGAATCAAAGGGTCTTAGGGCTAGGGAAGAAAATCAAAGAAGAGTAGAAAAAATGAAAAGGCAGAGGGAAAAGAAGAGAAAACTTTCCGTGGGCATTCTCGTACGCTCGATGCGACGAGGGGCTCTGGCCAAATCCATATCCGAACTGGCATCTGATTGGCTAGTTCTAACACCGGATATTGTTTTCTAACCATATTTTTATGGTATCCGGTTATGGATTTGGCCAGAGCCCCTCGTCGCACCGCGCGTAAGAAGGGCCCTGGGTACGAGAATGTTTCGTGGGTAATTCGTGAAAATCAGTGTTTCCACTTTCCAAAATGATTTTTTCTAATTTTTTTTCTGATTTTGATCGAAATTTAAAGCACTGAAATTTCCTTCAAAATTTCATTTCCTTCAATTTTCCTTCATTTTGATCTCGTTTTGTCTATGCTTGTCTATGCCCCCATTTGTTTCACAGTATTACTATTAGGTACAGGCCTTTGAGGCTGATGTAGTAAAGATATGGGGAAAAGAATTAAATCTGAAAAGAAGAGGGGGGGGGGGGGG